GACCTCTTACCTCATGGCCGAACACAAGCTCAAATGGGCTAAACCCCAGAGTATCCTGCACACACTCTAGCAGCAAAAACAAACAGCGGAACCATTTCATCCCACTGGTCCGTCTCATGACAGTAAATGCGACCATGTTTTTCAACGTCTGGTGGAATCTCTCCAGCGCGCCCTGCGACTCTGGGTGGTAGGCGCTTGACACTTGATGTCGTACGCCCATCCGTCGCATGGCTGCCTGGAACGCCTTAGAGAGGAAGTTACTGCCTTGGTCGGACTGGATCACCCTCGGTAACCCGTATGTACAGAAAAATTTCGTGAGTTCTTTGATTATTGCCTTGCTACTGATCTTACGCAACGGGATCGCCTCAGGATATCGAGTGGAAGAACACATGATGGTGAGGAGGTAATTATTACCGGATTTTGTCTTGGGAAGCGGGCCAACACAGTCTATAATTACGTGACTAAAAGGCTCAGAGATCACAGGAATCGGATATAAAGGCGCTACAGGGATCTTCTGGTTAGGCTTTCCCACGACCTGGCACTGATGACACGATTTACAATAATTCACAACATCTCTACGTAACCCCGGCCAATAGAAATGGTTCATTATTTTTCTGCATGTTTGTTAATACCCATATGACCCGACAATGGTGAATCGTGAGCAAGACTCAGGATCTGTGACCTGTAAGGTGCTGGGACAACGACCTGGTGTACCACGTGCCACTCGTCTCCCGCGCCCACGTGACGAGGCCTCCATTTTCTCATCAAGACGCCACCTTTTTTATAATAAGCTGCAGGTATATCTGACGCATCAGTTTCTGACCCAGCTAATTCAGCAATCTTACACAATTCTGCGTCACATTTTTGCTGATCTATAAGCTTCCCTTTATCAACGGGGAAGACACTTAGCTTGTCGTCACCAGCATCAGTCTCGTGGCATAGCAATGAAGTTCTTTCGTCACCTCTCACGTCATTTCCATTACCACATACCTTGTCCTTATTACGTACGCACTGACTCGCACGAGCTACCGTGGGAAGGTCGTGCCCGACACGCCTTGCCTCCCGCATGCTCCTCGTGACCGCGCAGGCAGGGAACATGCCCACGTCTTCTTCTGCAAGCTGTTCACCGTCGTTTATGTCTGGAGTACTTAGAATTGCTACATTAATTTGGGGTTTAGCAAATACCTTCTCTCCTGCCAAGTCATTTGCCAATATAAATGATACACCTTCTATGGGTAATTTAGGTACCACTCCTACAGTTACTTCCTTATCACAGAAATGAGATTTGAGATGAACCTTATGTAACGGGGCAATCAGATGCCCACACTCAATACCGGCTATGACGACACTCGCGTCCGAAGTCTTCCCCGCTAGTGGCAATACACCTTCCAAGAGCAGTGACTGTAACGCCGCTGTATCTCTTAATATTACGATAGGCTTTTCACCACTTTCATCACCAACCAGGGATACACTTCCTTCTGAGCAAAACGGCTTGAATTCATCACTTACATTTCTAAATCTATCTGTATCAGAAAGCAAATTGACTTCTACTGGACTTTTTACATCCTTAAATCTAGTACTGGCAAGAGCTACGGGAACGTCCTTGGACTTCTTCTCTTTGAAGAACCAGCAATTGCTGATAGTATGACCCAACAACTTGCAATTAAAGCATCTAACTGATTTCTTTTTATCATAACTGGAGTTATGACCAGGACTGGCGGTCTCTCTCTTATCACCTTTAAATTCATTCTTACCTGTCAGGGGAGTGGGTTGTGGTTTTACAGTACTCTTTGGACCTCAACATTTCTGTGGATCAAAGCATAATCCTCTGCCATTCTGGCAGCTTCATCTAACACCTTTACCCTGTTTTCATTTAAATACATCTTAATGCGGTCAGGTAGACATTTCTTAAATTCTTCTACAAGAATCAGTTGATATAGTTTATCACAATCATTATCTACTTTCTCACTCTCACACCAACGAGCAAGCAAGCCATCTTTCTCTCTGGCAAAATCTAAAAAGCTCTGATTGTCCCTTTTCCGCAGATTACGGAACTTTAAGCGGTAGGCCTCCGGCACCAACTCGTATCCCTTTAACACAGCCGTCTTTACTTTATCATAGTCACGAGAATCCGTCACGGACATTGACATGTAAATTTCTTGAGCTTTACCAGTGAGGACAGATTGAAGCAGTACCGTCCATTGTTCTTTTGGCCAATCAGAACTAATTGCTATTTTCTCAAAATATCGAAAGTAATTGTCAACAGCATTCTCTTGAAATGGGGGAACCAATTTTGCGTTAGCAGTTATGTTAAACGGCACAGCAGCGGGTGAGGCCGCTCTGAGCTCTAACTCCTTTAATTTGATTTCTCTCTCTATGTCTAGTTCACGCATACGACACTCGTTTCTCTCTGACGCACTTCTAACTCACGCATTCGGTATTCGTTCTGTAGCTCAAGCTCTTTTATCCTAACCATATCGCTGTCATTTTCTACGTATTC